ATGAGAGAAAGAAAGTTTGAAAGACTACTTAATATTCCTTCCTTCCAAAAGTGTGTGAAAGGCCCCAAAATGCAGCCTCACCCCTCAGAAAGGTTGTAACAGGTTGCATAAACAACCTTCTATATATTATGTACCTGAAAAACTTTTCCCCCCTGAAAATTTGGTTCTGGTTCCGCCTTTGGCCGTTACCTACATGTATAATATTGGGATTGATTCGTGAATGAATGTGCTGTTTATCAGGGGCCACAATTTCACTTAGGGAGAACTTTGAAATTGGATGCAAAGTGCAGTGTCAGTCGGTGTCCTAATCAACCGGCTGCACCCGGAGTAACAAAGTAAGGTTTTGTCACGCTTTTCTCTCTGGCAGAGCGAAACCAGGAGAAGGAGACGGATGCAGACAGCACGACATCGGAGTCCCCCGAGCCCGAGGACATCGTGAATGCCCGGGAGGAGATCGCCGTGCTGGTGGGCCGGAAGAACAAGCTGGTGACGGCCCAGAAGGAGCTGGAGGGAAGACTGGAGGAGGTCAGGACGAATGCAAACACACTGGAAGAGGTGAGGAGATATGGGGGAGGGGCTTATGTAAGGAGATTAGGGCGGGTGTATGGACGCAAAGTTTCAAGATATTTCCCCGTTTGATGTTGCAGGTTTCATGTTTGTGAAGTTGTAATGCAGTTCAACCTTAGTGCCATCCATTTCTGTCACATGACCACATTTGGTTGCATTCGGAATGGTTGTGGGGTTGTAGGCATTTAGCTGAAAACTGGCTGTCTACTACGTGGCCATCTTTTGCATGCGATGCATCCTTGCATCAAGAGAGTTGTCTCCGCAGACCCATCTGCAGTTTCCTGCTCAGTCCCTCAATTACAGGGAGTAATGGTTGTCATTGAAACCATACATGGCTTCAGGTGTGGTTCTGGTGTGCCAGTAACAGGGTATGATTTCAAGTCTGTTTTGCATGCCTTTGTTTCATAGGTTCTCCCAAAGAAGATCACCAGTGAGGAGCAGGGCGAGATCCTGAGCATGCTTTGCAAGGTCCATGAGCTGGAGATTGAGAGTATCCTTTGCATCTTTGCGTCTTCCCTTCATGTTACCATTTAGCTTGTCGCATGCTGTAAATACAACAACTACTTTATTTTTAGGAAAACTTGATTTTTCAATGCTGATTGGTCGATCCATGGCAACAAACAGTGTGGCATGTGACTGTGTTGCGCGGTCCATTTCAAACCCTACGTGATGCATTATTCCGACTCCGTGCATTGCACTGTTTTCATGTGAAAAGCATAACGCATAGAAAGCTCACTCATAGAGGAATAACTTTAAACCTGGCACATTTGCGTGCATAGGCCCCATTGATCTCCATTATAATGCAGATCAGTGATAGACCCCTAAAACATTTTTACTGCACGTCAAATTTGCTTAAAGGTAAATTTGTTGTCACGCTCACGCTGATGGAACACGGAATAATGTCATGTGTTTGTCCCACATCCTACTCGGCCTTTGGCACCGTGTTACATGGGACACAGACGCACTACATTATTCCCTGTTCCACTTGCACTCATGTGATGACTGACTTCCTCACTTGCTTTGCCTTTAGCCATATAATGGTTAAAGAAACCAAATCTCTCTGGGCAGACTAAACATCTCCTTAAGTCAAGAATGGCTCTTGGAATGGGTAAAAAGAGTTTGAAGTATTAAAGGGGATGGGCCGTGCTGGGAATATTTCTTGTAAAACATGCATAAACACCTAAAACAAACATATATATAACCAGAAAAATTACCTGCACAATTTCAAATGCGCGGAAATATATTAAAAATTATACTTTTCACGACCCTATTTCACTCCCTTCTGGGAGCAAAAGCTAAACAACAGCCGTCAGGTACCGAAAGTTGTCTGAAATTCCCAAGAATCATGACATCATAGGACGGAGTTGTTTTTCCAGCGACTGTTAACTGTTACGCAACAACGCATCAACATGTATGTAATACTGTAGCATTAGTGTGTGCCATCATGTCAGACTCAAGCGATGATAATTCCAGCATTGATGCTTTTTTCCGATCTTGACAGCGATCAGTTGTCATGTTCGTCTTATTCTTTTGATGAAGAAAGCGACGTTGCAGGAGCTGATGAGGCACAAGAAATATTGCCTTGTCAGTTTGAACCAGAATACACTCGGGAAGAGATTTTACAACTCGAGGCTGTTGGCCACGGGCATGGCGGCGACCCAGAGGACCGACAACAAAACACTGACTGGTCATGATTTTATTTTTTCTTGTACCATTATATAAATTTGTCTTTCTGAAGAGACGTAATTGTCCTACCATTGGCTATTCAATAGGTGTATGGTAGAAGTCGTTTTTTTTGCCATGGTTATAGGCTAGCCTACTTCGTCAAAGTTGGTGTTCCATTCCGACAATTTTTTCTCTGTGCACTAGGGAAACAAGACAAAATGTGGTTGACTTGACACGTACAAGTTACGTACCCGACTACGCGCCAGAGAAGAGAATATTATTCTTGCGCGGACCGATCAACTTTCTTGCCAGAACTATGCATTCTTGTCTGGAAAGTTGAGTCTGTCCAATGAAGTCACATTTTTGCAAAGATTTGTCTGCTGCCCTCATCGACCAAGTTTGCTGATTTAATGACTTAAAGAGGGGTTAATCCAACGTATTGTATATAAGACGGTTGAAAACTATCACATAACGACAATTTAACCCTACATGGCCCATCCCCTTTTAATAAAGATACACAGGGGTACTTCATTGAACCTGTCATCCATTCATCTGGATTCTAATGTCATAGGGGCACTGCAAGGCTGTTTAAATAAATCTTGTATTTTGTAGACTTGGAACAATGCCAGCTTTTCTTCCCATCTGTTGTCTTGGTCTTGTCTTACTCAGTGGTTGTTATGTATTTCAGATTTCATTAACTTGGAACTGATTCTGTTCAAGTCCATTTTTTAAACAATTTTGCACCCTCTTTGGAAAGTAATGAACAACTTGATCCTTGACCAGCCATTGTTCTGTAGACACGGAGCTGAAATCCCAAGCGCTGATTCACAAACATACCACAGAGCAGAAAGAGACGCTAATCCGACGCTACGAGAAGCACCGACTGCTGTCGGACAGGATCATCCAGGAACAACGATCACTCATCAACAGTGAGTTCTGTCTGCATTTCTCTTTTTTGCCAGCAGGTCACACACACGTGTGCTCAGTATTGCAATGGGTACCTTGCTCTTTTGTGTGATTCATATTGAAAGATGTTCATTTAACGTGCCGCTGCATTCCACCAAATTAACCTGGGAAACTCATGATTTTTTTAATACACATTAGGAATTTACTTTCATTTCCCTGAATACCCCCGTCCATGGAACATTCCCTGTGCATATTGCCCAATTGGTGGGCGTGTGGCGAGCTGCAGACACACAGATTCTTGACCAACCATTATCACTTCTCAGTGGGCATTATCAAATGTTGATACACAGTCAGTTTGCGCATTGTTGAAGAGAGAGACTGTCTGAGGTATTTATGAATACTTAGTATTACTTGATCACAACTTCGTTCAGAGGTTTGTTCTCCATTCCAAAGTAGCTGTGATTAATGACTATTTATGGAGTTTTACATTGGTTAATGCAAATTTATGTATTATGTGGTTTTGCCCTAAAGATACACGTACATAATTTAATAAGCACTTTTATTCGGTGCTGCCCTAGAGTTTGTGAGAGTAAGATTCACTAGCTAGTGTGGGGTAGATCTCAAAGCATGGTGTGAGAGTAGTTTCAGGGATTGGTGTCTCTTTTTTTCCCATAGAGCACGGGATATTCCGGCCTCAGCAGTTGGAGGACTGGTATGATCAGTATACGTCGGCTGTCTTTGATGAAATGTCCATCATCAGCACAAATCCCAACCTTCAAAATATCAGGGACATCAAGGTACTGACTTTTCCCATCACTAGATTTCAGGTTTTGAGAAAAAAAAGAATACGTCTTCTAGTTCCATTTCCTGTACACTTGTAACCATGCAAAAAAATCAGAATTGCCCTTAGTGGCAACACTGGTTCTAAGTTTATTCTGTCTTCAATTTGTCTAGAAAGCATTTAGGAAATGCAGGAAATTGAAACCATTACAGAGTTCTTTTTCTTGTGCAGCTGGCAAAATTCCAGTAGCTTAGTGCGTTCTTTAATTTTAATACATAACCACTAAAATACAGTTGCATCAACGTCGGTTGAGATGTATGACTTTCTGTGGTCTTGGTTTTTCATGGGAAAAGCAGCGGGTTTTCTACCATGGTGGCCAGTTGAAGAGTGACGCAGAAAACAAGGTAGCAATGGAGCAAGGGTTTTAAGGCAATGGTCATTAGGCACTTGTTGCTAGTGATATTGCCTGGCATCGCTTGATGCGGCAAAGTGGAACAGCTCTGGAATGGAGGAATGGAGGGTTTCGAGAGGGCCAACAGTAGGGCCTTAAAAACCAAAGAGCATGCAAAAAACAAGTGCATAGACCTGCACGCGGTTGCTTGTAATCCGTTCTCGTATGCCATCGTGTGGCAGTTGTCAAAATGTAAATATTTCTG